GGGACAACAGGTGTGCCACCATGCCCGGCTCATAGTATTTACTTTTGAATGGCAATTTGTCATATTTTTCTTGTATCAATTATTCTGATGCTTTAATACCTCTTACTCCAAATATTAATAGAAGCTAAGAAAGATGCTTTTTAATAAGCTCATTATTTAACAACTCTGAGTTTCCATATTCTCATAAATAGAATGGGGATAAGTATACCAGCTCTATACTACTGTTGTAAGACTAAAAGGAAGATAGTATATGTAAAGAACTCAGCACAGGATATGGCACAAACACAGGAAGCATCACCAAATAATAATAATTAAAATTATTTTACATTTTAAAATCTTAAATTATCAATTATAACAAAAGAATTTGGATAGTCCTTTTTTTAATGAAATTTTATTCATAGTACTCTGGTCTAAGTTTTGTACTACTCAATATTTATTACTGTTATATATAATACATGGAAATAAAAAATAAATTAAAATAAATGTAATATATAGTATTATTGCAGTAAATACTTTAATTATTGAGAATCAATAAAATTAGACCAGAGTACCACAAATACAATGTCATTACACAAAGAACTCTCCAAATGTTTTTGTCCTAATAAATATAAACACTTTTCATATAATATGAAATAAGTATCTTGAAATGTTTGGTTCTACAAAAGTTTTTCTCTAAAGGTATGTATTACATAATTCAATTCATACACCATTTAGAAACAGTCCAATGTGCCAAATATGGAATGTCCCAAATGAGTAACAAGATTATAAGTCATATTATGGAATGGCTTATTTGTTGGAAGTGTTTGCTAGAAAATTATTGGTTTGTAAATAAGATTCTTATAATATACTAATAATCCAAATTCCTTATTTATTCTGATAGAACATATCCCGGAAAATATCTGTAATATATTAAGTGTATTGTTTAAACCAATAAGCGAAAATGAAAAATGTAAAACATAATTTGCTTCTACTGTACCTTAGCTGTTTCCTCACTGCATATACTTGTTCTATGCCCTGTGATACTAACTCTTGAATCTTATGTGCTACTTGAGGGTGTAAACGTGAGGGTAATGTACAGTTCTCATCTCTGACTGCAGTTTCCTCTTCTTCAAGAGAAGAAATAGGAAAAAGGGAAGGTGACAAAGGGAGGCAAGGCGTCTCTAATTCATGATACTGATGAGCTTGCTGTGTAGGTAGCTGTACATACCACCTGGTAAGAGAAGATATTTAAAAGTATTAAAATTTAAATATTAAAATTATCTAATATTACTAGACAGGGCTAGAATCATAATATTCAAGGGAAGGAATAAAACTTTGAGAAAAAATATTTTGTTATATTTAATAAAATTTAAAATGCTTTTGACTTAACTCTTCTAACACTGACTTTATACTCAATTACATACAAATCTTTAGGTCTGGAGATTAAGCTCAGTGGCGCTGCATCTACCTCACAAGTGCAAGGTCATGAGTTTGATCCCCAGTACCCAAAATAAAATAAAATAAATAAATACAAATCTTTATAAACCTTTATACATTTCATTATGGCTCTAAAGTTAAAGGTGAGTATGGTCTTAAGTATACCTGAAAAGGTTATTTTACATTTTGTATTAAATAAAATTTTACCACAAAACAAAGAGACAATATTGTAAATTATCATCTTTAGAATTTTCTCATTATTTGCCCCACATTATTTCTGTGATGCAACCCAGTGGATTCCATTCAGAGCCTATCACAATCAAGCCATATATGGAAGAATCTTCTCTAACAGGAGCTCAACATATTGCCTGTAAAGCATTTCTGCTCCTGCTAGTCCAGTGAGCAAGAGCATTAACTAAAGATGAACACAGGTCTCTTAGACGGCAGAACAGAAATAGAAAACTGAGCTAATAAAAATTATTATAATTGGGCCGGGGATTTAGTTCAGTGATTCCACCTCCTGCCTCGCAAGCGCAAGGACCCAAGTTCAATCCCCAGTACCAAAAAAATAAAAAACAAAACAAAACAAAAAATTATTATAATAGCTGATATGAAATGAAATGGAGGCTATTCATTGAAGAATCTAATTATTGACTCATTTTTACATACCTAAAAGTTTTCTATTAAGGATCACACAAAAAGTGTTTTCCCTACAGATGACCTCATTATTCAATAAGTTCTCACCCAGAATGAATATAAAGCAAACTACACAAGAAAACTAATATTTAAAACTTGAGTATAAAATGAAATTTTATTAAGAGTTACAGTTCATTTCTGGATGCTATAGTAATCAGAGAGAGGTTTAAAAAACACATTTGGCTGAAAGTTCTGCTACTAAGTATCTGAAGCAAAGTACTATGTATATAATAAAAAGTGTTGACAAATACGTATTTGTCATTTGGGGAAAAGCCTTCTATGTACTGTATTACTAACTATATTTGGCATATATAAATAATGTAATTCTTCAGTTGAATAATCTACCATCTCTGGATAATAAACTCAATAACCTATTCAGTGAAAAATAAGTTTAGTGCTAGTGAGATATCTGCCTTATAAACCATTTTAATGAAATAACTGAAAACTCAATTATAATTTCTCTTACAAAAGAATTCTTATATATGGGCCTAATTAATTGTAAAATAAAACAATTATAAAAATATCATACCTAAGAACACCACCAGCATCTACAAAGTTCTTCTTTAGCATGTTAAAGGCTTTTTCCTGCTCCATTCTGATTATTTTCTTATCAATTTTGGGGTCTGTGGGTACTCTATATTCAGGAAACTTCTGCACCTTTTTAATATAAATCCTTTATGCAAGATAAAGAAGAATTTCTTTCATTATATTATAATCTCAAGAAAAAAATCAAACATCAACCCAGGTGTACTTTAAGAACTTAAATTTATAAAAAAAATTCTATTTATCAAGAAAGTATTCAGAGGCATATGCAAGATAAGCCATATTCTCAGTGCATAATACTTAGCAAATTAACAATAATCTTTTTTTTTTTCCTGGATTTTTGAGGCAGGGTTCTGCTTTGTAGTTCAGGATGGCTTTGAATTCACTATGTTGCCTACACTGGCTTCAAAGTCACAGTGATCCTCCAGCCTCAGCCTCCCAAGTGTTGGGATTACAGGCACCTGCCACCATGCCTGGTGATAATCTTAACTTGGATAAAAATATCTAAGTACTGTATTTGTGGGTTATTCTTCTGAATTTGCCTCTTCTCCACTTCCCTAGAAGCTCTAATCTCCTCATGCCTGGATTAAGAGATTTCTTCTAGGTTGCTCTGTCTTTACTCTTTCATTACATAAATTCACTTGCTATGTCAATCCCACAATGCTTTCACATTCACATACTTCTGTGGAAGATTCTCTTTTGAAGTCAAATATAAGTCCCTTGGGAGCATTCAAGATATCTCATATGATTCTAACTTCCTTGTCTAATCCCATTCAAATATAAAAGTTTTCTGTGAATTTCAATTTTTTAATGTCCCATCCTCCTATGATATCAAATAGGTAGTTGTCCAAAATTTTTATTTATACAATTGTCCTACACTATTATATCTGTCCTCTAACTCTCTATTTAAATCCAACCTAAACTTCAGAACCCAGTTTAACTTGTTCTTTCTTTCCTGGTAGGAGTTTGCATGGATATGTTCCTTTCTGGAATATCTATCGTAGGTAGCAAATGCACAGGTTTTGTACTGTACATTACACTATCATGTACTCTACTAGTATTTTGTTTTCTGATTCTCCCCAACAACATTTTAATTAAGGTCTCACTATGTAGTTCAGACTGCTCTGGAATTCACTGTGTAGCCCAGACTGGCCTCAAACTTGCAGCGATTCTCCTGCCTCAGCCTCCTGTGTGCTGGGATTACAGGCATGCTCCACCACGCCTGGCCCCAACAACATTTTTAAATTGCCCAAGATTACATAATATATCATTTCTCTTTGGATCTTCTTTCTTCCTGTGGTATACAACATCATTTCTGGACACAGAGTAGTAGACACTAAAAAAGTACTTGCAGAATGATAGAGGATAAAATTAGTTATTTATGTACAGAAGTTTTCTCCCATTTTATACTTGACATTTTTATATTCCTTATATGTAAAAAGAAGTTTATATACCCTAGTTTATATACCCTATTTACACTTTTAGTTTTTCACACCAGAGAAACTATTCGATATTTACATATGTATATCCTATTTATTTCACTTGAATATGGCCTCAATATGCATCCATTTTCCTATGACTCTAGTTTCTCATTCTTTATGGCTGAGTATTACTCCATTTTCTAATCGTATTGAGTTTATTGTTACTTTTTAAGTATGCAGTACAGTTACATTCATCATTGGGATCTTGTACTTTTACATGACAGCTCTTGGTTCTCATTTTTTCCCCATACCCCTGTCCTCCCTTCACCCCCTCCATCCTCCCCTATTTACGAAGACTTTGTTTCCATTTTTTCCTTTTCTCATATCTTTTCTTGTCCCTTATTTCCTTTCCGCTACCCTTCTCACTTCCCCTACACCTTTAGCCCTTTTCTTCCTATTTCACATTATCAGTTATACAATTTGGATCTTAATTTACACTTTTAGTTTTTCACACCAGAGAAACTATTTGGTATTTATTTCAATTAAGAGTATGGCCTCAATATGAATCCATTTTCCTATGAATGACTCTAGTTTCTCATTCTTTGTGGCTGAGTAGTACTCCACTTTATAGAAAAACCACATCTTCAAAAGTTTTATCCTAAAGATTTAAATATTGCCTAAAGTTAACATTATTAAATTAACTATGAAAAGCATCTGAATGGGCTTTTAAAACTTTTGGGAGAACGCTGATGTTTGTGATATGAGATGTAATACTAAAATGTAATGTTTTAAGTTTCAATCCAATCATTTGGTATCATCTTTTGTTTGCTTTGATAGAGACAGGGTCTCGCTATGTTGCCCAGGCTGGTCCAGAACTCATTGGGCTCACTCACGTAATTTTCTAGCCTTAATCTCCTGAGCAGGTGGGACTACAGGCACAGCACTACACTGGCTGATATGATCTTCTAAATTTTTATGCTACTAATAATTTTAAACACTTTCAGTATTTGAAAGAAGACTACTAGTAAAGAAGACTTTTAAAATCTTTCATTGGTTTCCATTTTTTATTCCCACCCAGTGCAATGACTACACTGCAGTTCTTTCTCCGAGTTGCTGATGTGAATATAAATAGGTAACATTTCTTTGAAAAGCATCTTTGCAATACTTCCCAACATTTAACAAGAATGTAACCTTTGCTCTACCATCAACTTCACTGCTAGGCATTTATGTGACTCACAAATTAGTAAGTATAATATGTACAATGTTATTATGTTCAGCTCTACATGAAATGATAAAGAAAATTTTTCACAGCTTGTGCCCTTAACGGATTAATTAAATGCTAACTGTTGTTATTGTTTTGTCACATTCTGGGTTCCTCCCATTCTAGTTTGTGTTGAGCATTGTTCAGAGTCAGAATTCTACTGGAAAGTACTCAAAGAGTTATCACTCCAAGGTCATTCACACTGTTGGTGCCATTACCACTAGTTTTTGGTTTATCTCTCTTAAAATTTTTTATAAAAATAAGCAGAGGGCCAGGGATATGGTTCAATGGCACAGTGCCTGCCTGGCAAGCACAATTTCCCGAGTTCAATTCCTAGTACAAAAATATTTTAAAATAAAAATAAGCAGATATTCATCTAGTTTCTTGTATTCCTTACTTTAAAACACACAACAGACACTCTTGTGCACTTTGCTTTTCTTGTTTAAAGGTGTGTTGCGGCATGAAGTCATGCCATGTCAGCTCAGAGCACCGCCTCTTTTCCAGAACTACAGAGCACTCTGCTGCATAGACCTGTCCTAATTTATACAAATGCTTTCACAGATGAAGGAGTTTGGGTTGCTTCAATATTTTGTAACTACAAAGAACACTGCAATAAGTAACACTGTACAATGTTATATACAATGGAGCATTATTTATACACACATTAATATATAACGGAGCACTACTCTGCCATAAAGGATAAACTTGTGTCATTTATAGGAAAATGGGTGTACCTCAAGACCACGATGATAAGTGAAATAAATCAGACACACAAGCTTGAATATTGTATGGTTTCTCTAATACAAGAAATGCAAATCATAAATACAGAGAAAAAGAAAAGAAAATAGGAAGTAAGGAGTTTTATTTTTTTGGATAGATCTTTTTTAAATGGGAAGGAGATCAAGAAATGGAAGGGGAGAGGGAAGGTAGAGAAAGGGGATGAAAAGAGGAATGAAGATGTGTTATGTATATGTATCAACTCCACACAAGGAATATAAATGTTATGCCCTGCAAACACAACTAATAAAAAACATTCCCTGAGATCTTGGGAAGCAGATAGGAGATGTTTTGAGCTTCAGTGTGTATGTGCTGCATCCAAATAAGTATGTTCTGAATCTTTCATATTACAGATAACTTATTTTCAAATGTGCTTCCGAGAAATAAAGATTATTCTTGCTGGGTTTTGGGGAATAATATAACACTGTCCACACAAAAAAATAGTCTGATGGAAGCACGGGGAGGCAGCCTGGGCCCCGATCCACTGCGGGAAGGAGAGCCACGCCTGCTCCCGACCCAGCCACCATCGCTCAAGCGCTGGGAAGGTAGCCCATGCGGGCGCCCCTGAACTCCCATAAGTCCCCCTCCCCCACACTCTCAGACCTCCTGACTGTGCCAGTCTTTGGACCCACTCTGCAGAGGCAGAGGTGGTCATCAAGGGTATTTTTCTGAGTTCCCAACTTTGAACATCTTTAAAGAAAGGGTGTGGGAAACCTGTAATAGAATGTTGTGGAGTTCAACCATTCAGAAGGTTGGGGAACTCAATCTGGGTCTTGCAGCCCGAGGTCAGTCAGCATCATGGGGTTCAGCCATCAGCTAACTGAGACCAGGGGACTTGCATCCTCGCTCTGTCTGAGCCATTAAATGGTAAATACACTATATTGAAATTTTGTTCACTGCAGACATGTTCTGGACTGCTTCTTGATTTCAATTTAATTCAAATGATTTAATGGTGATAGACTAGTGACTACCACAGGTGGTCAGTGTCCAAGTTGTGCTTGATCTCAATGTTCTGCTGATTGTATCAGTTGGGATAAAGCATTGCAATCGATTTGATGAGCTGTTTCTCTGATGTTATGAAGATTGAGAATGTCTGTGGGTCGTTAGAGACACAGAAGCTAGGGTGCAAATATATCAGGAAGATTTGGGTGATAACCCAGAGATTAAACCAAGAACAGTTCAACAACAAAAATTAAAATGAGAAAACACTTAAGCAAGATACAAGGACAGACTTCCAGTTCACCAATGGCAAACAGTAGGGCAAATGAGGATGAAAAGGCCGATAGTGAACCACCAGGACACCCTGAACTCAAAGCACAGGAAGTAACAAAACAAATCAATCAGGCCCTAGAAAAATTCAAAACAGAAATAATTTCCCAGATAACCATAGTGATAGTGAGCAAAATGGAAGTCGTGATTCGAGACTCTAGAGCAGAAACTGACAAAAACATAGATGAGCTCAGGACCATGATAGAAGCCATGAAGGCCCAGCACAAGAAAGAAATGGAAAAAATAAACACCCAACATAGGAAAGAAATGGAATCCATAAAACAGATGCAAACACAGATCCAAGAGATTAAACACTCCATAGAAAGTGTACGCAACAGAATAAAAGAATGCGAAGATAGACTCTCACATATAGAAGATAAGATTGCAGTCAGTGAACATGAAAAGAGAGGTCTCTTAAAAACAGTAAGGGATCATGAGAAATCGATCCAACAACTCCTAGATGATGCAAAGAAGAATAACATAAGACTGATAGGAATCCATGAAGTAGCAGGAGAAAATACAAATGACTTAAAAAAGCTGTTTGCAGAATTAATGACAGAAAACTTCCCAAACAGAGGGGAAGAATTTGAAATTCAGATAAGTGAGGCATATAGGACCCTAATTAGCTACAATCAAAAAAAATCTACATCTAGAAATATAATAATCAAGATCCCAGAAAACCAACAGAAGAACAAAATACTATAAGCAGCAAGAGAAAAGAAACAAATCACATACAAAGGAAAGCCCATCAGAATCACAGCAGACTTTTCAACACAAACCCTTGGGGCAAGGAGAGCCTGGAATGAGATATTTCAAGTACTAAAGAGAACAACCTCCAACCTAGACTGATGTATCCTGCAAAACTCTCCTTCAAAATGGATGGGGAAATAAGACACTTCCACGACAAAGAACACCTGAGAAACTACATGAATACCAAACCAGCACTACAAGCAATTCTAAACAAGATCCTAGAAAAAGACAATGAAGGCAACAACACCATGAGGCCCAACAGAGCAAATCAAACAGGCAAGGCAAGAAATTAAAAGGAGAAGGTGAAAAAATAAAGAGTCAACAAAAGGCCAATAACATGTCAATAATAAGTCAGTACATATCAGTTATAACCATCAATGTCAATGGCCTCAACTCACCAATCAAGAGAAATAGACTGGCAAAATGGAATAAGAGGCAAAATCCAACAATATGTTGCATACAAAAGCATACCTAGTACACAAAGAAGCCCATAGACTGAAAGTGAAGATAGAAAACAATTCTCAATGCGACATGAGCCCAGAAAAAAACAGGGGTAGCAATCTTATTTGCAGACAAAGTAAATTTCAAACCAAAACTGATTCTAGTATTACTGATGTAGGACAGTACTGTATCATACCTCTATGAATGTAAAATATCTTATACCTGCTTTAGGATACACAGTAGGGACCATGCTTTATCAGAGCTACATTTAATGATATTACTCTAGAATATTCTCTTTCCAGATGATGATTAAGATGCTAATAAAAAAATGGTGCCAGTTACCACAACAGCAACAGAACTTTGCTGTTTTCTGGATATTATTCTTTTCTTTGTTTCTTTTTGTTTTGTTTTGTTTTTTGTTAATAGAATGTGCTGAATTCTATAATTTTGTTCAGATGACTGCAGAACCTGGAAAAGCTGTTGCTGCTGTTGATGCATAACATACTGCTATTATAAGTTTTTTTATACAAATATATACATATATATATAAATTGAATTTTGGGAAACTTTAACAATGCTGCCAATTTTGGAAAAAGTCATCCCAATTTACTGTGTTGACTTGGCATTGTACAGAAATGGACAGCCATATTGGTCTAGAAATGTTAATTTTTTATTTTTATTTTTTATTTTTTTTTCCATGTATACAGGGGTAACACATCGTACTAAATATGTAAGGTCATATCTACGTGGGTTTGATTACAGAAACTAATAAAGTATTCTCTAAATAATGAAAAAAAAAAGAATAAGATAAGACTATAAGAGCAAGAAACAATTTAAATATGTTCAGGGACCATTTTTATCTCCAGAATTAAGGATTATTTTAATGTTACAACATTGCCTTTTCTCTTTTACTTTCCTTTTTAGTTTTATTTTAGGATTCCCTATTTTTAATGTTCATACAGAGATTTCTTTAACTGAAATACCGAATAGCTTCTTTGGTGTGAAAAACTATAATAGTACACAGGATCCTAATGAGATAATTAATAATGTGAAATAGGAAGTAAAGGGCTAAAGGTGTAGGGAAAGTGGGAAGGGTAGGGGAAAGATAATAAGGGAGAGGAAAAAAATATGAGAAACTGAAAAAATGGAAATAAAGTGTTTGTAAATGGGGAGGGGAGGAGGGGGTGAAGGGAGGGCAGGGACAAGGGGAAAAAATGAGAATCAAGACCTATTATGTAAAGGTACAGAATTCCAATGATGAATATAACTGTATTGTATATCTGTATTGTACCAATAAACTCAATAAAAAGAAAAAAAATAGTCTGATGGCTCAGTTTGGCTTGGTGATAAAAACCAAGACTTAATAAATGTGATATATGCTCCGATTCCGTAGCACTATGAGAAGCATCATACAGATCAAATAATGAACAAACTGCAGACAGGAGCAATTGGTGCTAACCTATGCACATGGTAACTGCATGCAGCAGGCACATGCAAGTGGACCCAGACACCAGAAGTATTTACAAAGGGTGTTGGGGAGAATCCAATCAAGCAAGGGCTCCCACCCCAGTAAGAAAACAGAGGGCCTTCAATAAAGAAAACCACAGACTGACTAAGAAGCCTTTACCACCCATAGGCCAGAGGTACAAAAGGAATCTATTCACTGGGCCCAGGTTCAGCTGAGTTGACTGTCCCCACTGATAGAGCCCTGAAAAGGCTTACCATCACTGGGGCTGTAGCCCAAGAGGGACATGCCCTGAGTATTCTTAATCCTCCTCCTCCTCTTAATCTCACATCACTAGCAAAAGGGCAAGCAAGGAAGGCATCCTGCACCCTTTTCCCAATAGTGCCAGGAAGGGGGACAGGTATAAGGGCCAACAGGTCCAGATACACAGAACACTAGCATTTTGTTCATGGCTTTACACTCTGCATACAGCAAAACTACCCCAGATATTGTGCCTCAACATTTGGACACCTATAATGTTTAAACAATTCACAGGCAACTCTGAAAATTACCTGGGCTGAGATCTGCTACTCTTAAGTGCTGCTTAGTGAACTCTGTGATCCTGCAGGACCACTATTCTAATGCATCCATGGAGCTTGAGCAAGCACTGGCCAATACAGAAGTATGGGCTTTATTTTAGGGTAAAACAATTAGAAGACAATTTCTGTAAGTTTAACTACAGATGTATTGGTATTCTGAGCTTTACAGATACAAATGAGTTGTTGAAATTATAAAAAGATATTAAGCCAGGTGCAGTGGCACACATCTATAATTCCCAGCTACTTGGAAGACTGAGACAGAAGGAAAGCAAGTCCCAATCTAGTTTGACCAACTTAGTGAAATTCTGTTTTGAAAAATAAAAAGGGCTGAAGACATATTTGTAGCTTAGTGTGAAGGCTCTGAGTTCAATCTCCAGGATCTCTCTCTTTCTCTCTCCCTATCTACCTCTCTTTTTCTCTTTCTCTCTCTCTCACACACAGTTACATTCATAAATGGTATGTTGGCTATTAAAAATACTTACATACAAACACAGTCAGATTGGAGCTAGTAGGAATTTTTAAAAAGCAAAATGTGTATTAGTCCATGTGGTTATTAGTATGTAGCATGATAGCTATGTTGTATATAACTACTGAATTCATAGCAGGAAAAAGGGCACACTATTACCTAACTGTAATGAAAGAAAATATCAGTGAGCTTTACTGAAATATTCAAAATATTTATGGGGGTAGAGGAAGCATGTATACACAGAATATGCTGTTAGATGACTCAAGAAACTGTTAAGCATTGTGGCCTTAAAGAGGGACACAGGGAATAGGAATGAAAGAAAACTGAGAATTCAATGCATATTTTTGGCACTGTTTAAACTTAATGCAAAATGTGCATATTTGCTATTCAAAAATAAGACCACAATGAAAAACAAAGAAAGCTTACCTGGCTGGACAGGTGGCTTTGTAGAGCTGACATGACCCACTTTCCTGTTCATTGATTTTTTTTAACTGGAAACCTTTTCTCCTTGGCCCATACTGACACTCCATTACCACAGCTCTACTCCCTGCAGGCCAAAACCAACTGTCGATATTAATTCATGTGTCTATCTATTATACACTAGATTAAAAATAACCTGATGATGGCAATGTCAAAATGTACATTTGTAATTACATGTGTTTATGGAAAGAAAACACTGGAATGTCTTACTAAGATGTACAACACAAATTTAAAAGTTTATCACATAATTTACTAAATGTACCTTAATTATAAAGCAAATAACACATTTACTGAATATTACTGATAGACATAAGATTTTAACAATAAAATGTATCACTTTATAAATAGAAATTAATAAATGCTACATATGGCTAATAATTGTATCATTTAAAAATCTATTTCATTTTTAATTATTTATCTTATTTTTATTTGAGCTGTTAGAATAATATAACCAGACTCTAAAATGGCTCCAATGCATATCAGCATTCATTTCCTTGAGTAAGGATGTGATACTGGAATTTGCAGTTAAGCCATTTATGGGAATGAAGTAGTAGGTGGGGTTTTTAAATGAGATAAGATTGACCAAAGCCAGGCATGGTGGCGCACTCCTGTAATCCCAGCACTCGGGAGCTGAAGCAGGAGGATCACTGTGAGTTTGGCGCACTCCTGTAATCCCAGCACTCGGGAGCTGAAGCAGGAGGATCACTGTGACCAGCCTGGGCTACATAGTGAGTTCCAGGTCAGTCTCAATTACATAATGAGACCCTGTCTCAAAAAAAAAAAAAAAAAAAAAAAAAGATTGCCCATATGCTGATAGAGGCTGAATCTCTATGAGAGATACCTGGAATCATGGAATTTCCTATATTATTATCTCTGCTTTGATATGCATATGAATATTGCCATAATATAGAGATTTTTTTAAAGTCTGGCAATGCAGTTAGGTGTGGTGGCATAGACATGTAATCCCGGCACTTGGCAAGAGCACTGTATGAATTCAATGCTCTCCTGGGCCATATAGAGCTCAAAGTCAGCCTGAGCTACATATGGAGACCCTGTCTCAACAACCCATTCATCCTCCTCCTCCGAAAGAAAAGTCTGGATAAGTGAATGCAGGAAAGGGAAGGGAAAGAGAAAATTTCACATATTGCAGAAAGTAGTGAAAATCAGAAGCTCATTAATCCTTTATAAGCAAATCTGAAATCTAAAAAGCTCAGGAAAACAAGTTTTCTGGGACTCATTTGGTTACAAAATGAGATCTAAACTGTGTGAAGCTATTTATAGTCTTTATTGCTTTTAGTATGATTACACAAAAAAATTGTATGATGCTGTCTATATAATACTTTTTTCTTTTGGTACCAGGGATCAAACTCACGGCCTTGCACTTGTGAGGCAGGTGTAGTGCCACTGAGCTAAATCCCTGGCTTCTATACAATACTTACAAAGAATGCTCTGTAATCCTACTCTTACAAAACTACAGAATTGTGAAAGATCTCGTCCAAAAATTTTGAGAAAGGAGTAACCACTATAGAGAGCAATTTGAGATAACTTTGCAAAGATGAAACGGGCATATTTTATAACTACCAATTCCACTGTAAGGCTCATACTCTAGAAAAACTACACCTTTTATCAAAGGATAAATAATTGACTACTGCACTCTTTCTAATAATAAAATTTGAAAATAATCTAAATGATAATCAATGGAAAAGTAATCATGGTTGGTTATATGCTAAAGTATTATACATTAGTCCAAATGAATTAACTAGGATCTATAAATACAAATATGGATAGATTTTAAAATATGAACAAAAAATTTCAAAACAATGTTTAGTTTATTATTTAGGTATATTTTAAAACATTCAAAATAATAAAATATACTATTTTAATTAGAAATATAGAATGATTCAGATATAGGAAGTAGGGAGAAGTTCAAATAACCACCTAAGTTCTCTATTCCACTGTTTCAAAAATATTTCAATATATATTCTCATTTATTTATACTACTAGTTTCTCTTAGTTCATTGAAAGACAGTTATGTACTGCTAGCTTTCTTTTTTGTAAGACAGTTTTTTGTCTATGACTTGTATTCTGAGTAACATTTTGGCCATTCTTTTAAGATTATGGTACACAGTGTATTAACTGTTGTTATTCTCTAATTATTTTGTGATTGAATTTTTTATAGAAGGAAAGTACTTTTTGTTTTCTTTATTCATATCTACATTAAAATATTTTTTAAAATTAAGTAAAAAACAGACTGGTACACATGCCTAGTAAGTCCAAGGTCCTGGGTCTGATCTCCACTACAAAAAATAAAATGAAATAAAAACAGATTGGAAAGAAACACACCAAAGGCATTTAATGGCTATCTATGATGAATTAAAAAGGGAATTGGAACTGGGGAAGGAAAAAGGAGAAATTCAGGACATCAAGGTTTTTTTTTTTCCTGAGGTTTTCTTTTTTCCCCTTTGTGGGTGTTGTTATGGAAGGAATCAGTTAGTGACACCCAGAAAGGCAGCAGAATGGAGGTAAAATAACAAATTTACTCCATCAATGGGAGTCGATCGCACATAAGCCGTGCCTGGATCAATGGCACACTGAGTTACAACTCCTCCTTTTATAGGATTTTATAGCCTTGACTTCATTTGGGTGGTTACATTTCATTCTCACAGTTCAAATCACGGTCACAGGATACTTAACTTTCAATCAGACGTAACAGTTCTTTGTAGTTGGAGAGTTTACCTTTAAGATTTGCCTAGTTATCTTCTAGTCCATAGGAAGGGGGGTGTTCAGGGTTAAGGGAGCAAATGTTAGCAATGGGTTCTTTCATCTAGACACTTTTATGATCAGGTGGCTCCAGTCTCTTTGGAGCTCAAGACCTTGACTGTTATCTCAGGGTCAGACCAAATGCCTCAGTCAGCAATTAGTGCTTTTGGTGCCTGCTGATTCTGAGCTAAACAAAACAAACTGCTGTTATAGACAGCAGAAGCCATTTTCCATTGTAACAGTTTATAGGTTTTTCCCATTTATAAAAGTTTTCCCTATCAGTGTTGAGGACCAAATCTAGAACCTCACATATGCTAGGCAAACGCTCTACCTCTGAACTATATCCCAGCCCCTTCACACTTACCTCTGAGGCTGTATTTCTTTTATAGAATACTGATGAAACCTGGACAAAAGGGGTTAAATTTATCTCATAATCTTTTAAATCAACCTTTCTTTTTATTATTATTATTATTATTATTATTATTTCTTCAGTGCTAGGGATTGAACTCAAGGCCTCATGCATGCTAGGTAAGCACTCTATCACTCAGCTACAGCCATAATCTTAACTATTTCTTATTAACCTTAAAGGTCAAGGGATGAGACAACAATTCTTCCAGCTAAATTAGTGCCTTCATAGTCCAGAAATAAATCACTTATTTTTAGATATTTTGGGGTTTAACTAGTCCTGCAGTAGATCTCTGAGGACTGCTTGAAACTCTTCCACTACGGTAAACACTAACCCGGTGTCTGAGAATATTACATGTAACATACTCAGTGCTTGAGAACTTCATTAGCAGAATTCTATATATTAACTTGATTGCATACAAATTCTGTACGTTAACTAGAATTATAAGCTACCTAAAATGGAAATAGATTTGTCCTGCAAAAAATAAGAAAGGAGTGAATATTTAGATATGTAGAGGGGCATAGCGGATATTATATTTTAAAAATAAAATTTCCCTTTTTATATCTTAATAGGTATACCTAGAATTTCAATATTTTTATTTTCTATCCATAAGCATAAAATATAAAGAAAGCATTATTTATTCACTGATATATTAAAATACAAATTTATGACATGAAGTAATTGGTTATATTTATTGTAAGTTTTCTTTTTAGTTTAATATGCATTTTAATTGATTAACATTCAGTTATCTACCAAAATGAAAATATATTACCTTAGGAAAATCACATTTTTACAGTGAACAATGGCTGCTAATGAACCTCTTAAAATAATTCTGTAAAAAGAGTACCTGCATTGACAAAGGGGATTCCATCATATGGGACATACTGGGATTTCCACATCAAGCGTGTAGCAGGCTTGGCTGGGCTTGGAGACTGGCGAGTCCCCCAAACACTCTGTGTTTGCTGCTTGTGAAATGTTAGGACACTTTCTAATTCAGTCTCACTTACACAGTAGCCACGGTATGAGTCTCCAATTTTCTGCGAGTAGTAGAAATTGAATAATAAACTTATTAGCAAATATGATTCACTATTCAATAAAGTTGAGATGGTTGTCTAATATGAAAAACTTCTCAGCTTTCAAAAGAGAATGTCAACTGTTCTCTCAGATCACTGATCTACTAAAACCAGTGGGCTGGATCTGATTTCAACTAATATCATCAAATAGATATTCTCCATGAATTTGTTAGGGAATAGAATGCCAAATTTACTGTCACGCTACCTTTATTAAAATTCTGAGAAGTAATACTGAGATGCAATGTATCCATTCCAGATGAGGCTTCTTTTAACTAAGATTAGTTTAATATGATACTATGACTCAATCTGAAACCCAATGAAAATTGTGACTATATCTCCTATAAAAATGCTACAGAATAATTGGCTCAATATATCAATATTTGTTTTTGTTTGTTTGTTTGAGACAGTGTTTCACTATGTATTTGAGGATGACCTGGAACTCAGAGTAGCCCAGGCTGGTCCCAAACTCACAGCAATCCTCCTGCCTCAGCCTCCCAAGTGCTGGGATTATGGGCTGTGCCACCACACCTGGCTCAATATTTGTTTTATGAAGATTCTTCTCAAAGCAAAATTACTACTTGGCCTTAGTACCAAAAACAGTTGGTAGTTTGTGTTTATCTTATGGAAATTAGTATAGTTTATCTTATCTAACAGACTCTGTTTTTGTTTTTGGTTTTGTTTTTTTTTTTTTTTGGTGCTGGGGATCAAACCCAGGGCTTTGCGCATGCAAGGCAAGAGTTCTACCACTGAGCCACATCCCCAGCCTCAGACTCACTCTTTAGTAACTAACTAGTTTTTGCCTTTTGAGTATATGTGCTGCCAAAGTGAGCTCTAGTTTTTGCCCTTTGAAATGCACATATTTAGAGTACAAACAAATGTGTATATGCATACATGCACAAATGTAGTTCATTCAAATATGTATTTAAAACAAGGCAGTGTATAAATGAATCATAAATAAATTGATATTATCCGTATACAACATTTTTTTATTTCAAAAGAGAAAATTTGTTAACTGTGGTCTCTTAAACTGTGTTAAGATCTAGAATTAACTCCATCTATTTTTCCTCCGTAGAGGAAATAAGAGCAAAGATGTGGGCATGGAGATCTTGTTCTTTCTGTTTAGACTAAATATTTTATTTTGGAAGAACCTCTAACAAAAAGGAAGATATTTTAAAAAAAGGAAGATGTCACACTACTGTTATGTTTAGTTGGGCATGCCTGTAATCACAGCACTCTGGGAGGCTGAAACAGGCTGCAAATTCAAACCAAGACTGGGTAACTTAGTGACTTTGAGCCTGTCTCAAAATAAAAAAATTTTAAAAAAGGATTGAGAATATAGCTCAACAAGAAGGCCCTGGTTCAATCCCCACTACTCCCCACCAAGAGCAGCCAAAAGCAAACAGAAAAACCTGTTGTGGTGTGCCCATAATAAAAAACGTGATGGCAGGTATTATCTACACTTTCTCCTAATAATAACAAAAATGCTATGTTGACAATGCTTCTTCTGGCCTAGATAGTTATTCAGTAAGATACTTTCTTTTTTGGGGGGGCGGGTATCGGGGATTGAACTCAGGTCCTTGCACTTGCAAGGCAGGCCACCGAACCACTGAGCTAAACCCCCAGCCCATCAGTTAGATACTTTCTACAAATAAAATTAGGAATACAAATTAGCTGTAACATTTTATATAAATAAAATGAAGAGAACATATAAGGAAAAATTTTAAATTAGTATAATACAATCAGGCCTAGAGGTATGCCTATAAATGTCATTAAATGAGAAATCAAAAAGTAAAAAGGATTACTAAACAATATTTTAAAGTAAAATGCACAGTAAGATACTTTCTACAAATAAAATTAGGAATACAAATTAGCTGTAACATTTTATATAAATAAAATGAAGAGAACATATAAGGAAAAATTTTAAATTAGTATAATACAATCAGGCCTAGAGGTATGCCTATAAATGTCATTAAATGAGAAATCAAAAAGTAAAAAGGATTACTAAACAATATTTTAAAGTAAAATGCAGAAAATATCTCTTTGGCTATTAAGCAAAAATGGTTTTTACTATTGGTATAGCTTGAAAGAAGAGAAAGAATCCATGAGTAGCAAAGATTACTCTGTCTGTTGGATACTTTTAACTAGTGTTTTATAAGAGTTATGACTTTCAGGAAAACCATACAATGTTAAAATAAGGTGATCTGACCACATGATTGTAAATGTTCTAATATCCATAGCATTTTGTGAGGTGAGGTTCATAAAAATGATTTTTAAACACCTCATGAAACAATCAGAAAAACAACTTCAGGAAACTACTGAAAAACAACTTTATGACCAACAAAAAGTGTGGGTGAAAAAATATCAAACATACACATATACACACATATATAACTTAGAAAAGCAAGATGATAAAGAGCTAACAGATGCAATATATCATATTGTAAAAACTTTTATTATAGAAAGTTTTCTTAAAATATTAAATTTGAAGAAATGTTTTTCATTCCCATATTTTAAAATTTGTTTAAAACAACAAAGCATTTTTTTTTTGGTACCAGGAACTGAACTCAGAGCTTCACACTTGCTAGGCAGGCTCTATTCTGCTGAGCTACATCCCCAGTTCAACAATGAAACATTTTAATAGTTAAATACACATTATCATCTATAGCTGACATACACAGAAGGCATGGTATCTTCTGTAAAAAAAAAAAATCTAGTAACTATATAATAATTAACAACTCATGCTATTAAGAATGGTAATTAATAGGAAAAAATAAGTGAAGTGCTAAATATACTAGCACATTTGCAGAAAGAGAACTAGGTTAACAAGAGTGGAAGATGAGCTAGAGAAAAGTAGAAAATAAAATAGGACAAAATAAGATGATACAGAGTTTTTTTCTTTGTTTTTTTCAGGCTGGCCCTAAATACACTATGTAATCCATGCTGGTTTTGCTTGCCTCAGCCTCCCAAGTGCTGGGAATACAGGAGTGCACCACCATAACTAGAAGATCAGGGAAGACTTTAAAAACTCACTGGCTAAATAATGTGGAAAAACTTACACTAAACTTATTGGGCAGTGAGAAAAGACAATAAAAAAACAGTATTTAAAGATAAGTAGATTTATAAAAATACACATTAGGAACCAGAAATGGAAATGTCAAAGCGAATAGGAGGCACCAGGTGTGGTGGCACATACAGTAATTCCAGTACTTGGGAGGATGAGGCAAGAGGATTGCTATGAGTTTGAGGCCAGCCTAAGCTATGTAATTAAGAGCTTGTGTTAAAAAAAACACCCCATCAAAAAAACAACAACAACAAAACCACCCTCATCTCTTTTAGTGCGGGGGGGTGGTATGAGAAAGGCTATTACTCTAATCAAGTGTAAAATAACAAAGGTCTATTGAAGAATGGGGGAAATATAACTTTAAATTAAAACTAAGAACAAGGCAAGTATCTGAAAGTAGAAAAGGAAATTAATCTAAAATTTTGTGCTTGGTATCTCAGAAGATGTTATTTGTCACTAACCAGACAAAAAATTTAGAAAGTAGAGCTAGTTACACTGTGGTAGATAATTTCAATATGGGATAAAGTTAACAATGAAGGGAAATATCCAAGTAAAGCTTCAAGCAATAGCTGGATATCTGAGAAAAGAGTAAGAATTAAGGAACTGGTGATATAGATCTGAAAATCATTTTATAGTTTTGAGAGTCGAAAGTCAACAAACTAGCTAATTCCTCTAAGAGATAAATGCAGAAAAAGAGGTTGGGCATGGTGGTGCATGCTTGTAATCCCAGCACTCAGAAGGCTGAGATAGAAGGATCATTGTGAGTTCAAGGCAGCTTGGGCTACATAGTGAGACCCTGTCTCAAAACCAAAACTAAAACCAAACCAAACCAAACAATGTACAAAAAGATGACAAGGTCAAAAGTGAGAACTGAAGAATTTCTCCTGAGAATATGAAAAGAAGTAGAGGTAAGTACAAAAAGAGAAGTGATGGTTCAAAAATAAAGATAGAGACACACAGGGCCTGGGATTTAGCTCAGTTGTGCCACTGCCTGCCTCACAAGTGCCAGGACCTGAGATTCCCAATACCGCCCCCCCCCAAAAAGACAGACACATGATAGTAAACTTTCATAGAAGACAAGGGAAGGAACCTACAAGAGAAGAAACGATAGTAAATTGGAAATAACTGCTGCTTTAACGAAGCTTATAGTCTCCAAAGAATAAAAGAAAAGGATGAGGTCAAATTTAGTAAAATATGAAGCACTACAGACATATCCTGTATTAACTGTACTCAAAAGTGGGTATTATGAGATGAACTATGACAATAATCAATAAATGATTCTTGGAAAGGGTTATTTTAACTCACCTCACAGCTCCTAAGACGGCAGGCCCATATAGGTGTATTAGAAGAAAGAGGCTGGAGAGGAGCTAGCAAAGGTTCCTCAAGCATTCTGGGATAGAGAAGGAATACATATATAAACACATGGTTCTACATACATGAAAGGCATTTAATTGCTCTATCTTCTTTACCAGTGTCAAAGACAATATCTTGAGATCATCAGTAAAAATTTTAACTATAAGTTGGTCAGATGGTTTATTATCATTTTCTTTAATCATAATTATTTTATTAACTACTAAATTAAGGGACTTTTTTCCAGGTTATATGTACTCTCAAAATATTTAAGTATTTTATATGTCTTCCTCAAAGTTTATTTATTTTGGTTTTTTGAGACAGAGCCTTTTTCTGTGTAGTTCAGTCTGCCCAACCTGGCCTCAAACTTCAGAGTGCTGGGATTACAAGCATGCACTACCACACCCAGCTGTATTCTTCTCATTATGCAATTATTTTTCATTTATCAAAAAAGGAGCTAATAAAACAACTTCAGATGACTGTTAAGAGCAACAAACATAGCTGGGTGTGGTGGCACAAGCTCCCAGCTTCTGGGAGGCTGAGGCAGGAGGATTGCCATGAGTTTGAAAGCCAGCCTGGGTGAGTTCAACATGAGCCTGAACTACATAGTGAGACCCTGTCTCAAAAAAACAATAGTAATATTGTGAGTCCATAAAAAGATTCTTGATTCTTTATTTCTCTAAATTATTTGAAGTTATTTTAAGACAAAAACTAAAAAACAATCAAACAACAACAAAAACCACACAAACAGCTGAGTGTGGTTGTGCATGCCTATAATCCCAGCACTCAGGAGACTGAGGCAGGAGGAATGCTGTGAGTTCAAAGCCTGCCTGAGTGACATAGTGAGTTCCAGGTTAGTCTCAACTACATAGTGAGACCCTGTCTCAAATAAACAAAAACAAAACACACACACACACACACACACACACACACACACACACACACACAAATAGCAGGTAGCAAAAACATTTTATCACAAAAGAATTGGCCTGGGGATTTAGCTCAGTGGTGCTGCTGCCTGTTTTGCAAGCACAAGATCCCAAGTTCGATCTCCAGTACCAAAAAAATAAAAATAAAAAGAAGCCGTCATATAGTTTCTAAAGATCCATAGCCAAATGACACCACTCGCATATTTGATATGCAGTTTCTACAGTAGCTTTATTTTCAAGAAGCTACTAAATTAATTAAATATACATTTAATGATAGTTTCTTCCATGTTCTGAATTTTTCATTTTTTTTATAGTCAGTTACTTTTTCTTTTCTTTTTTTTTTTTTTGGTTCCAGGGATCAAACGAGGGACCTTAAGCTTGAGAAGCAGGTGGCGGAACCACTGAGCTAAATCCCTGGCCCAGTCAGTCACTTTTGGATGTGATAATTTTGGTTCTATAATGAGAAAATTTGGTTTTGTTTGGTACTGGAGATCGAACTCGGGACTTTGTGCTTACAAGGCAGGCAGTGGAACTACTGAGCTAAATCCCTGTCCCTTGGATGTGATAATTTAAAAAAAGATTTCCATGATGCTATCAAAAGATGAGCTTCTGTTTCTCACCAACTCACCTGGTTACAGACTTTCTAGGCAATGTGAGGGATGCATGTGGATGAAGGACGTAACTACTGGTGCTGTCTGCCAGAGCATCCATTCTTAGTACACGTCCATCATTAGCTTTCTCTTCAGAGATATCTTAAACAAGAATAATAAAGTAGTATCAGTATGTTGAACACTATAAAAATGTATCTAACTAGACCTTCTATATTTGTAATAAGAAAAGACAGAATTGTTCTGAAGCTAAAGACCACAAAATTTAAAATGCTTTACTGAAAATGACTCCAATAAACTTGGTTATTTTTAAATTATAATACTGACTACTGAAATTCTGTAATTAAGTTTTTAGAACTTATACTGAAAGGCTAGGATATAAAAGTGGCAGACATAATTGTTATACTAACAGAATTTTATAATATAATAGGAAAATGTAGAACATTCTTGTTTATATACTGTATTTATGTTTTCTGAGAAGTTTTTTCTTTTTTGTGACTGCTAAAAAAGAATAACAAAATGAAGGTATGAACATCTACCTTAAGCCATAACCTCTGAAGAGCAACAAAATACTGTAGCTGTAATTTTAGAAAATGGATTCAAATAGATGGGAAAGAGAAGAAAGCAAAGCAAAATAATAGGAATGTTATCAAACAGGTAAAGAATATGTGAAAAGAAATGAGGTAATTATTCTTTTATTTTTGAATCTGAAAGAATACAGAAAAGAGGTAAAGGGCAAGAGAATAAAAATGATAGTTTAAAAAGGTAATGAGCCACAGGACTAACAAAAATATTAATAAAAATACAAATATAAAAAACTCCTAAAGCTAAGTACTCTAGACTTGTTATTGTTGCTGTTATTATCACTGTTATTATAATTAAGAAGAATTTATTTTATGCTCACTGGTCATTTGAGAGGAAGCAGGAGTCAACTAGCTTCATAGAATTCCAAAATGAAATAGACAGCTAACCTAGATAAGAGTTGAAAAATGAACTTGAAATTTATTTAGGCTGAGATTTTTTCTAATTATTCAGTTCACAATTTCACCTAAAGAAATCATTTTTAACACTGACTTTCATAAGGTGATTTTCCAGAATATTCCCAAACATTCTCAAATCCAAGGTATCTCATTTTTACTCACCCTGAGGACTATTTGCATCCATAAGCTGCCCCTGAGGTATAATCACTTGTCCCATTCCTGTCTGGGTAGATGGAATTACATGAAGCACCTGTCCATTCTCTGATGGGCTAGCAACGATCATCTTGGAAGCATTAAAAAAAAAAATTAAATGTACAGGCCTACAGTGATTTAACAGGATATACTGAGCCAAAAACCATACAGAAGATATTATTTTCTCTATTTTATAAATGAAAAGATTGAGACACACAAAAAATATTTTCCAAAGTCTTACAATAATTGATAGGAGGCAAAGCTAGGGTTCAAAATAGTCACTTTGACCTGAAAGACATCATGGTCTTAATTAATTATGCTCTTTTTTTTTTTTTTTTTTTTTTTTTTTTTTT